ATAAATTCAATCAAGATTTAACCAGTGTCATTGGCAAGCTTAAACATAAATTATCTAAAAAGGAAATGATAGACAGACTTGGTTTATGTTTAATATGAAATTACATACCAAATGAATTATCTCTAGCATACTTAGAGAGAACTCTAAAGGGAGATTTCCCTTGCTATTTATTTTTCACTGCCAAGTCAGAGATGCAGGTTTTGCAGGGTCAACCTTAATCTGGAAAACAAAAAACTATAGGAATAAGATGACCACTAAATCAAAGCACCGACTAAGAAACACGTTAAAACTAGCATGCCACAACTAACAAAAAATTTAGTAGCCTAAAATATGATCTAATGCAGACTAAAATAAATTTTTAGTCACCTATTGTGGCATATTTAGCAACTAATTTTTTTTAGTTGCCAATAATTAAGATAAAACTACTAAAAAAAATTAGTAGCTAAAAACCATATTCAACGCCGACCAATGCAATTTTTAGTCGCCTATTCTATAACTTTTGGCGACTAAAAAAATTTTAGGCGCCAAAAATGTAAATTATTATAGTGTGTCATGGTGAAAGATTGAAAATGCGCATAAAGTAAGTACCACGTGCTTTCCGGTTAGGAGTCGGTAAAGTGATGATTGGTAGTGCTTGATATGCCAAATTGCAGATACCAGCTTAGGAATTATCCGAGTCGTATTTATCGCTCCGTATTTGTATTTTGAATTCATTGAGATAATGTGTTTTCGAAAAGAGCATTGCATGTGATTTTCAAAAGGATAGAACTTGGGGTTTTGGAGCATGACATGGCATTGCATCCTATTTAAGACTACTTAAAACATAAATACTTTATTAAGATCTTCTTATTGGGTTTCATGCTCACCCCTAGTGGATTTATGCAGGAAATAATGTGGTAGTTCCGCCGAATGGATGTTTTGAGAGTACGTATAAGGCTCTTTGTTTATTTGTTATATTTTTTGATAAGCCAAGGGCTTATGTATATGGGTTTGTAAATCACTTACTTGTAATCAGGCTTAAGCCTTAGAACTTGTGGCCTGGGGGGCATTATTTTGCACTTTGTTCTTTACTTTTATCTGTCTCACATTATATAGATTCATATTTTAGAGAAAATTGAATGTTTATTGCATGTTGACGCCTTTTGTACATCTCTCGCATATCAAAAAATACTAGTATGGAGATTTATTTAATATTATGATGTTAGGAATTTCATGATTATCTAACGAGATAAGAATAAAATCAAAATCCTTGTATATTAATTATTTGAAAGTGTTACAAGGGTGTAATATTACCTCAATTTAGACCCATATATGGGCAACTCCAATCCGAAATCATAACTTCATATTTTGAAGTAGATGAATAGGATCCGAGTTTTATCACAACGACAGACCTGGACCTGACCCATTGACCGGTCAAAGCCCATGTGCTTAGGCCTAGTCATGAAATTTTATGGCCAAACCATGCCTTAGTGAGAGCAAACTAAGGCCACAATTTTCGTAAGATTTCAAATTTTATCTTTGATATTTGGGTTAATTACTCACGGGCAAGTTATAATCATTTGTGTATCATTAAGTTCCAAAAGTTTTTATATATTCTATGAAGTCTCTTCAATTCGTCGTTGAAAGTTGTTCTATCAGAAGACTAAAAATGACTTTTAGTGACGATTTTATAGATCTGTTGTTAAAATCTGACAATTAATGATATTTTTTTGTAACAAGTTTCTAAATATGTCGCTAAAAAATAACAATTAATGATGTTTTCCCTGACAAATTTGTAATTGTTGCGGAAAAATAATAATTAGTGACACTTTTTTATGAAAATACCAATAAAGAAATAAAAAATAAAAAATAAAAAGATTTGTGGTTGTTAATTAAAAGTGAATAAGACTTTGATACACCAAAAAGTCAAGAGGACTTATTACCCTCATCTTCCTAATACAATTTTTTAGTCAGCTCCCTTGATATTCTTTTAAAAGGTCTTATAAAAATTATTTTTGTTTGAAGGACCTACAAACTAAAAAGCTAATTTATCAACCAAAAAAAAAATCTATTAAGTTTTATTATTTTTGTAAATATAGTGGGTCTTATGAATGACAACGGATTCTGTTTTTTGGGTTTTGTGAGCAAATTCTTTATTTTATGTTGAATAATTTTAATGATATAATTTTATACTTTATTATAAAGTTGATAATTTTAACCTACCTATCACTATATTTTACCCTACCCAATCAACGCTCTCTCAAACCACTAATATTAAAATCGAGTTGGATTAAATACAACTAGATTGAGAGATTTTGCCATCCCTAATGGGTCCCACAAATATGTATTACTTTTATTATATAAATATACATCAAAGTTAAAATAAAGTTGTGAAATAAATTCACTAATAAATAATTATCTTTTTATTTTAGTGGACCATCGAACAAATTTTTTTTTAAATGTTATATATTGTGGGATTTATTTCATCTTCCATGCATAGACATGCAATAAAAGTCATCTAAATGTGGGGCTTATCTTATTTAAAAAAATATTAAAATTTATTATGTCACATAAGAAACCACCTGAAAGCTTTTGATAAAATATTTCGGTGGGATTTACTTATTTATTGAAAAAAAAAATTGAATTATTTTCATCTTTAAAAATAAAAAAATAAAAAAAAAAACTCTTAGTTTTTAGATTCAACTCGATAAGATAAACAGGAAAGTTATAATTTTTTAAAATTATAAAAAAAAAGTCCAAAAAAGACATAAATAAGTAAAAATAGTGGACTTTTTTTGGTTTATTTTGACTTTTTCACAATTGTTTTGGAATTTCTCAAAAAAAAAATGTATTTTTTTGATTCATTTCAACAAGATGGACCAAAAAAGTAAAAAATTATGACATAATTCTATAAAATAAAATAAAAAGGTGAAACACCAATAAATCTCAAAATCTGATATTGTGAACTGTTCAGTCCTCCCTCTTTTCTTATGAATTTGAAGGTCCCATTAAAGTAAAAATTACACAAAATGATAGTCATTTACACATTTGGGTTTAATTTTGGAGGGATAAAAGTAGATTTCTTCAAATGTGAAATTACACATTTGGGCAATTCACACTATAGAAGTTTTGAATTTTTCTTTCTTCTGAAACAAATTTCACATTACGAATAAGAACATGACACTCCAATAATGTAACATTTCAATGTAACACACTAAAAAACTCATTAGTATACTTTTCCTAAACGTAATAACGTAACACTCCAATTTTTTTCCAAACGTAACATTCCAATATAACACACAAAAAAACTCTTTAGTATACTTTTTTTTTCTTTTTTCTTTTTTTTTTTGATTAGCAAAGAAAAAGATTTATTGATGAAAAAGCAAATTACATGCAAAGATACATCAACAAATCAGGAAAGTGCACAAGCATCATAGCTAACCTTCACAATCCCAACTAGATTGGTACCACAAAGGATACACAATCATATGCAAGCACTTAACCCAAGATTGGCGAGAAACCAATCAAAACAAACAAAAACCAATCAAATAGAACAACAACAAACAAGTAACACCAATCTACACTAGCTCCAAACTTGCACAGACTGGAATAGCTACAGACAGAAGCAGACCAGAACAGAACAGCAGCTCTCTGAAGCAATAGCAACAAAACTACACCTCTAAACAGAACAACCAGAAACAGCATAGACAGTAGACCCCAAATAGCATACGCAGTAGACCCCAAACAGTATACATAGCAAACAACAGCATACAGCAAACAGCAGAGGTAGAGGCAGAGCCAACATCCAAGCACCTTGAAGGCAGCCCAAGCAGCCTATCAACCAAGCATCTTGACACACTCAGAGGCAGAGCCTCACCTGACTTAGATTGAATATTAAATCGTTCACTGAGTAATGGAAGTCTTGTATTGAAGCTTTGATCTATAATGCAAGTCTTACCTTTATAAGCTCACTCAAATCAAAGCAATTGGGCTGCACTACATTGAAAATGCACTTGTTCCTCTGCTTGCAGAGTGACCAGAGGGTGATTAATGATAGAGCTCTCCATATCCTTTTTTCCATGCTTTTAAACTTACCTCCCTTCCACCAATGAAAGAGACTATCAATTGAGCTTGGTATCACCCATTGAAACTCCCACCACTGCAGCATTTTGGACCAGACAGTCTAAGAAAATGGGCAAAATAATAGCACATGACTGGCTGATTCAGGTTCTGATTTGCAGAAGGTACACAGTGTAGAAGCATTAACATTGAGACCCCCAATCTTTTAAAGGAAAACATCAAATTTGATTCGGTCTTTCCAAGCCAACCAGCTGAGGAATTGAATTTTGGGAGGGAAATCTTTATTCCAAATGAACTTACAGATATTATAACTGGGACCAAGAGAGGCATTGCTAAAATTATACACATCAGCTGCTTTAAAAGAACCTGAAGATGAGCCAAGCCAGACAGGTCTATCAGCCTCTCCAATCCTGAGGGTTGGGGCAGTAGATAATGGAGGTGTTTGTTTCAGCTTTTTAGAGCTAATTTATGGCTTTTAGCTTTGAAAAAGTTATTTTGGACTGTTTGGTTAAACTTATTTCAAATAGCTTCTGATTCTAACAGCTTATTTTAACTCAAAAAATCTGATTTTGAGAAGCTGCTCACCCCTTGCTTTTGATTATCAGCTTCTGCTGTGGACATGTTAATTTATGGTTATACTCTTAAATTTTTTTATTTTTTATTTTTTTAAAAATAGAAAAAGAATCAAATGGACTATAGATTATTATTATTATTTTTTATGAGAAATGTAGACAAACAAAAAATAAAAATTAATTGAAAAACTATTTCACAGCTTATTTAACAAACACTACTCAGCAACTTAAATCTATAATCCAACAGCTATACCAAACAGATTAACAACTTCTGATTAAAGTCATAATCTATAATCTGTTAAGCTATAATCTATAAGTTGTTTTAACAGCTACACCAAACAGGGCCAATGCACTATGCAGTCTAGTAATTTACACCAATTCCCACTCATATGGAGTTCTTCTGAAAGATAAGTTCCAATTCCCTAAGGATGATCTTTTATCATAGAACAAGGGTAGAGTGTCTTCCTTATTGGTAGATAATCTGTAGAGACTTGGGAATTCATCTTTGAGACAAATGTTTCCACACCATTTATCAAACCAGAATTTGACTGTCTTTCCATCACCAACCTTAATTAGAAAGTTGTCCAGAAAGAATTTGTAGAGGGGCTGCTTGTGGATAGCAATAGATATGATGTCACTCCACACCCTAGAGTATTTGCAAGAAGGCCTTAAGATTGGCAGCCACCTATCTTCATCAATCAGGTACTTACTACAGAGAACCTTTCTCCAAAGAGCATTAGGCTCACATCCAAACTTCCACCACCATTTTAACAAGAGGCAAGTATTGACATCAATAATTCTTCGTATTCCTAGGCCTCCAAGACTTGCACTTTTTGTTACTTCAACCCACTTCACCATATGAATTTTCTTCTTTAATTTAGTACCTCCCCATAGGAAGGAAGCTTCAATTTTCTCTAGCTCTTTGGCCAGCCCCAAAGGCATTTTGAATAAGGATAAGTAATAGAGAGGAAGGTTGGATACCACTGATTTGATTAAAGTGAGTCTACTTGCAAAAGACAGGAGCCTTCTCTTCCAGCCTGCTATTCTTGATTTGAATTTTTCTAGGATAGGTTTCCAGGTGGAATTTTTCCTAGGGTTGGCACCTAGGGGCAAACCTAAGAACTTCAGAAGCAAGCCTTGCACTTGGCAATTGAGGAGGTCAACCATGGCTGATAAGACTTCATTACCAACACCATATCCACAAAAAACACTTTTGTGATAGTTTATTCTCAGCCCAGAGAGTAGCTCAAAACATCTAAGCCCCCTTTTAATGCTTACTAATTGCTTCATATCTGCTTCACAGAAGATAACTGAATCATCAGCAAATTGTAGATGAGAAATAACTACTTCCTTCCTTCCTTCCAATTTTCACACCCTTAGTAAAATTCTGCTCATGAGCTCTAGTCATGAGTATGTTGAGACCTTCCGCTATTAAGTTGAATAGAAAAGGGAAAAGAGGATCACCTTGCCTCAGCCCTTTTTGTGGAAAGAATTCTGCAGTTGGTGTTCCATTAAGTAGAACAGAAAGCCTTACTGTAGAGATACATTATCTCATCCAAGCAACCCATTTTGGACCAAAACCAAAGTTAGAGAGCATAGAAAGGAGAAACTCCCAATTAACTGAGTCAAAAGCTTTTTCAAAGTCTAGTTTAATGATGATACCTTTCTTTTTGGATTTTTTCCAACTATCCACAACTTCATTAGCAATAAGAACACCATCCAAAATATTCATTCCTCCAAGAAAAGCAGATTGAGTAACTCCGATTACTTCAGGAAGAACTCTTTTCAGTCTATGTGCTAGGACTTTTGAGAGAATCTTGTAAACGAAGCCCACCAAACTAATAGGTCTATAGTCTCCCAATCCCACAGGATTTTCATTTTTGGGGATAAGTGTGATGAAGGAACTATTAAGGCCATAAGCAAGTCTATTGTGGGTGTGGAAATCTACCATGAACATAAGAACCTCCTTTTTCATAACCTTCCAAAATTTCTAAAAACATAGCAGATTGAAACCATCTGGGCCTAGAGCTTTATTGCCATTGCATTCTTTAACAGCTGTCTTAATTTCAGCTTCAAAGAACTCGCTTTCTAACTCCTGGAAAGAATGACTCTCTACAACTGATTTGAACACACCTCCTAAAGATGGCCTTTTAGCCTAATCTTCTGTGAACTGTTTCTTAAAATGTAGATGGGCCTCATGTTTGATTTTGATAGGATCTTCATGAGTAACACCATTAACAGATATAGAATTGATAGCGTTTATGTTTTGTTTACAACTGGCCATTACATGGAAGAACCTAGTGTTTTTGTCCACTTTAAGTGTCCAGTTAACTCTGGATTTCTGCTGCCACATCCATTCCAACATTCTGCTTTGATTCCATACTTCTCCTATCATCACTCTCCTGCTTTCTCTTTCTGATTCTATCAATGGTCTGTCTTCAGAAATGAGATTCAATAAATGCAACTCTTCCTCAACTACTTTCAATTTAGAAGAAATGTTACCAAAGACATCACAGTTCCACTTCTTGAGAGCAAGCTTCAACAACTTTAGCTTCTACAAAAGAACAAGAAAGAGGGAAAGGAGGGGTGCAAGGTCCAGGCATTAATAAACCTGAAGGGTTTTGGGCCCCAATCCCTCTCATCCTCCCTTATTAGGAGAGGACAGTGATCAGAGAGAAGCCTAGGCAGCCCCCATAACTTCAATTTGAATTTGGTGAACCATTCAGGGCTGAGCATATTTCTATCAATCCTACTCCATTTCACATTTTCTTGTGCATTACACCGAGTGTATTTCCTTCCAAGCAAAGCTAAGTCAGTTAGCTCACTTCTATAAATAAATTCATTAAACTCTTTCATCCCTTTGTCCCTTCTAGAGCATCCAATCCTTTCCTCAATATTTCTTATCGCATTGAAATCTCCACTCATACACCATAGGTTAGAGAAGTTTATTTTGAGGTTAGCAAAACAATCCCACAATTTGTTTCTACTGCTAGCATTATTTGGGGCATGTACATTTAACAGTATACATTCAAAAGAATTGTGGAGTGTACCTGAGAGTAGAATGAATCTCCTATTGCTATAGCAGCTATGTAACTTGAAGATCTCTGGATCCCAAATGCATAATAGGCCTCCAGTAGATCCCTCTGAATCAACTGACATAAATTCCATACTACTTCTTGGCCATAGGGCTCTAACTTCATGCTCTGTAATTGAGGATTTTTTTTGTTTCTTGAAAGAGTGCTATTTCCACTTGCCTTTCCTAAGTAATTTCCTTGTTCTTCCTTTTTTCTCAGCTTTTCCCAATCCTCTAACATTCCATGACATTAGCTTCATTAATTAACAAAATTGAACACCAAAATCACCTGGGTTAAAGCTGTTTACTGCCCACCTTTCTCCTCTCCTCCATTTCTTTCTTTATTTTTGAGTTCTAATTCAACAATTTTGTAGAGAGTATCAGAATTCTTACCTTTGAAGTTGAGCCCTAGAACTCTCCCCATTTGCATTGTAGCTTGAGCTTTATTTAGGATATATCTTCCCCTTCTATCACCATTCTCAGCTGAAGCTGAAAGTGACATAGCTACAACAGCAGCTCTGAATATGGCCCTTTTTGGTGGATGCTTACTAGAGGAAGCCCCTTTATGCCTATGAAACCTGACGAAGTTGGAGATGATTTTAGACTGAGTGAGTACCTTAGACTTACCTTTCTTGTTTCCTTTCAGCTTGACTTTAGATTTGGGTTTACACTTCCTAGATTGAGCCCCTTTATAATGTGGTGTGTCTGAAATCGATTTGGTCCTTGAAGGCCCAAGTGATCCACCATTAGCAGAGCTAAGATTAATAACTCTGTTGAGGTTTGAAACTGATGGGCCAGGTTCACGAAGGATATGGCCCAAATCAATCTCCAAGTCTATGCCAGGCATAAGTCCTGTAGATGCACTGAGGCTCCTAATAAAACTAGGTGTGTACAGATGGCCTTCTAACCTCTGATTGTCATTATTGGTAAGTGATTTGAGTTCAGTTGCCTTCGTTTTGGTGGGTCTGCCATGCGTGCATCATCTTCAAAGCTGCTCCCCATGCCATTTTTTGTCTCTGTAACTACCGTATCCCCTTCGTTTCTGCCATAGTGATGCTCCACTTTAGATTCTTCAACTACCCTATCCACCTCAGCTCTGCCACAAGTCTGCTCTACTCTCTGAATAGGATCCATATCATTAAAAGATGCCAGCTCAGCATCATTTCTCTTCATTCTCTTTGCCAGGTCACCTTCGTCTTCCTCAATCCTTTTGGGATCTTCATGCTATTGTTTGGCTATCATATTGGAGCTGCAATCTTCCGCAGAATCAATGGATGAATTATAATCTTTCTTAGTATTAGTTTGTTCTTCATAAACTAAGATTGGAAAGATTTTGCCCTTGCATTCCTAATGTATTTCTTTGTTAATCCATTCCATACATTTAGTTGCAATCCTAACTCTGCCATAACAAAAGGACACTAGTTGGCAAGCATTATTATCAAGGTTTAGGACCTTTCCCCATATTCCTCCTAGTTTGGTAAACGTGTCTTTGTTCCATAGGTTTAGTGGGACGCCATAACATCTTAGCCATAAACATCTCTCCTGCTTAAGGTGCATATATGGCTTCCATTCTGTAGCAAATTTGCACCACTTCTTTAGCCATTCATTAACTAGTCTGAAGTTAGATTTCATCTCTTCTTTGGACTTCAATGTTAGGTCAATATCCCTTCCTCCTCTATTTCTGACAAGAATATGGCCCATCCTTTTATCCTTTAGTGCTTGCTTGCTACTGGATAAGGTATATTCTTCTTTGAGTCTTACTATTACACTTTCATACAACCCCCCATGACCATCTTCATTGACTTTAATGGTAGAATAAGTTTTACCTTGTGGAATGCCTATGTTTGATTTTAAGGCATCAGCAAAGGATTTACGTTGGACGTAGACTTCTTCATTTCTTTCAACAACAGCAAGATTTCTTCTGGTGGGGATAGGTTGAGGTTTGCTAATGTTCTAATCTCTAGCGTACTGAGCATATTTGACTTCAAGTGCCTTATCATCCACCCATAACCCATTTCCTTTCTGAACTGCAATGCTTGCTATGACCGAGCAATCAAATCTCACAAATCCGAACCTTGTGTGTCGGCTTTTCTCCTCTTTTGTGGGATAAAGACATCATTTATTATTCCAAACTTAGTGAAGATTTTGAACAAACCTTTAGGCTCCATTGAGTTTGGAAGGTTATCCACAAATACAGTAAACAAGCCCTTCGTTGAGCTATTACTCCATGCACCTCTGTCTTTCCTCTGCTTGATCACAGGGATCCATCCTCCTTGCTCCATTGCTCTTCCTTCCATTCCCCAAGAATCCTTTAGTATACTTTTTCTATACGTAACATTTCAATCAATGTAATTTCAAACATAAAATTCTAATGTAACACATATAAAAACATTAAAAAAATTACTTAGTATACTTTTTCCAAACGTGACACTCATAGTTTGAAATTATACATTTACCAAAGCTTACTAAAGAATTTTTTTACTCCTTTTAGAATGGTTTGAAGAATCGCACACTCTTTTGAAATAGTTTGAAGCCCACATCCTTTTTTTGGAGTGTTATATTAGAATATTATATTTGAAAAAAGTACACTAAGAAATTTTTATATGTGTTATATTGGAGTGTTACATTAGACTATTACAGATTGAAATTATACATTTTTCCAAACTTTATTAAGGAGTTTTGTACTCCTTTTAAAGTATTTGAAGAATCTCACATCATTTTGAAATGTTTGAAGAATCCCATATTGTAAGTCTTTTTTTTTTTTCTTTTTGAAATCTTTGAAAAATCTTATATATCAAGTCATTCCAAATAAAAAGATTCTCATATAAAAATTCATCTCAAATTTGATTCTCATAGGTAATGTATCTTAACTTTCTAGGACCAAAAAACAAAAACAAAAAAAAAAGAAGAAGAAGAAAACATAATAGAATAAATCTAATTTTCAAATAATATATTAAATCTATCTTTCCAAAATCAATGAAATTAATTAGTCGATAAGAAAACTCTTGAAACTAATCGAATCACCATTTTTCAATATAGAATTTACAGGAAAAGTTTCAAAAACAATTACTAAAAATAAAAATTTTAAAAAAATTTTAAAAAAAGAGCCTTTTTTAGAGGTTGCCAAACCACTAACTCTCAAATAAAAACTTACTGATCATAGGTTACTAATAATAAAGGCCGAATAAAAAAAATTATTGTGCAAAGATCTTATGTTCCCCCCTCCCCTTCCCCAAAAAACAAAGAAAATAAAGAAATAAAGCATTAATAAATTTCAAAATGTGATCTTATAAATTGTTTAGTTCTTCCTTCTTCTTTTTTTTATGAACCCGAAGATCTCATTAAAGTAGAAATTACATAAAATGATAGTTACTTATACGTTTAGGTTTAATTTTTAAGAAATAAAAGTGGGTTTCTCCAAATCTAAAATTACACATTTAGGCAATCCACACAATAGAGGTTTTGGATTTTCCCTCCTTCTGCGACAAATCTCACATTACGAACAAGAACGTAATACTCCAATAAAGTAACACTCCAATGTAATACATTAAAAAATTACTTAGTGTACTTTTTACAAAAGTAACACTCCAATCAGTGTAATCACAAATGTAATACTCCAATGTAACACACAAAAATACTAAAAAAATTCTCATATTTGTTTGGACAGACTGAATAAAGGTGAATTGTAATCTATTGGACTGTTAATCTTGGGATACATAATCCCTGGACTATTTGGTTGGATATGATGTGCATTTTATGTTTGTTTAATCATGGTATTAAATGTAAGGAAAAAACTATTCCATTGAATCTTATGTTTGTTTGAATTATTATAAAGATGATAAATGTTCAAAAGATAATTTTGCCCTTTTAAATTATTTACTAAATAATATCAATATTACACATATCTTTAATATTTTAATTTTTGGGGGCTAGATTAAATAAAAAATTATATTATTTTTTAAAAAAATTAAATAATTTTTTTAAAAAAAATAAAATATCAATAAAAATATGTGTTATTTTATAAAATAAATTGATTTTAAAAATAATAATTGTTAAATAAAGCATCAATAAAATTTTAAAATAAAATATCTATAAAATTTTATTTAAAAGTTAAATAAATAAAAATCAATAAAAATTAAATAAAATTATTTTATTTTTAAATTGAGACATTTAAATTTTATTTAATTTTATTAAATATAATACCTAATTAAATCAAATACTTTGAGGGCAAATATACCATTTTACCATTTAATCACATGGAATAGTTATCTACCAATAATCCGACATATATAGGATTGGTAGTCCAATCGGACTTCTAATCTGACCTATGAATTTGCAACCAAACAATAAATTCCATGATTCAATGGATATGGTGTCTAATCCCCCCCTCCAATCTCTCCAAACAAACACATCCTTAGTGTACTTTTTCCAAACGTAACACTCACAGTCTAAGATTATACATTTGCCCAAAACTCATTAAGAAGTGTACTCCTTTTGAAATGGTTTAAAGAATCTTATATCCTTTTAGAATGGTTTGAAGAATTGCACATCTTGTTTTTTTTTTTAATGTTACATTGAAGTGTTATGTTTAGAAAAAGTACACCAATGAGTTTTATTGTGTGTTACATTAGAGTATTACACTAAGGAGTTTGTTTAGAGTGTTATATTAGAGTGTTACGTTTGGGAAAAGTGCACCAAGAAATTTTTTTGAACTGTTACATTAGAGTGTTACAGTTTGAAAGTATACATTTATCCAAAGCTTACTAAGAAATTTTCGTATTCTTTTTGAAATGTTTGAAAAATCCCACATCATTTTGGAATGTTTGAAGAATCTCATATTTCAAGTCATTTTTGTACTGCTTTTAAAATATTTAAATAATCTTACATTTCAAGTCATTTTAAATAAAAAAGATTCTCGTATAAAAATTCATCCCAAATTTGATTCACATAGGTTGTGTATCTTACATTTTTAGCACCAAAAAATAAAATAAAATAATAATAATAATAATAATAATAATAATAAGGGTATAACTGTAAGTCCAATTTTCAAATAAGTGTTTTTTTTATATTTAGGTGGCACATTATAAGGGCTTGCTTTTTTTTCTAAGAGAGTTATGTCAACATGTATTTTCTTAATTACATATAGAGTTCAACACAAACTCAAAGTTTATTTAAATTATATTAACTTTACCTATTTTATATGGATTCTATTTGACAAATATTGTTTTTCCATATATTTTTTCATGGTAAATTGTCGTAATCCACAAATCCAATACCAATTTTATATTTCTCATTTTTTCTTCTTAATTCTTTCAAGGGTAGTAGGATTTTTTTTTTAATGCTAAATTATTATTCTTCTTCTTCTTCTTATTTGCTCGTGCATTATTCTATATCTAATATCAATTCTATATTATTGTATATTATAGATTTGTCATTTAAATTTTATAGTGATTCTAAATTATACTTCTTTTCCAACATTATTTTATATAATCACAATTGACGGGAGAAAAAATCTGCACAACAATGATATTCTCGAGGAACCTCTAAAGTTTAGATTTATTGCTTGAGTTATTTTTTCAATTGTTGAACAGTATGTTCTTTTATATTTTGACATCATATTATAGATGATTAATCACTTCCTACACTGAGATGTATTTATCATTTGGATGTTTTCATTATTTTTTCTTTTTGGATTTAGATGTTGTGTGATTCTATATATATATATATATATATATCATATAAAATCATTATATGATAATCCAATTACAACATATTTATATTTAATTTTTTTAATAAATTTTCTATAATTTCTATTTCTACATAGAAAAAAGATAAGAAGTTTTAAATTAAGAGCTCAAATAGCTCTAATTGGTGTGTGGGTCCCATGAGATGTGATATTTTGGCCCTAGTTTATTTTTTTCTTTCTTTCTTTTTTTTATTTTTCACATCATTAGTGCCCTTTTAAAACTCCCAAATTAGAGAAATGTATCATTTCTGTTCTACATATTTTTATTTTCCAAATGAAAATAAAAGAAAATTAAATAGTTAAAATTACTTTTAATTTTATGTTACTAATTCTTTTTCTAATTTGACTATTATTTTTAATATCAAAATAAGTACTTATTTTACTATTTTATAATTTAATATATATCATATAAAATTATTATTATGTGATAATTATACTTTTATAATACAATAGAACTAAAATTATCAAAATACACAAATAATTTAACTAAAATTAATATATATAAGTATTCAAGTAACAATTTTATAGAACGATAGTGTCAATATTATCAAAATAAATAATTAAAATCATACTGTAATTTTAATTTTAAATTTAAATTTAAATTATTCTTTTATAACACACATTATACCGTCAAATATTTTTTGAAAAAAAAAATAGCACTTGTATTGCACAGATCAACTACTAGTAATATATTAAATCTATCTTTTCAAAATTAATGAGACTAATCGATCTTATAAGAAAATCATTGGGACTAAACGGATCACCATTTCTCAAGATAAAATTTATAAGTAAAATTTTCAAATAATAATAATAATGATAATAGTGATGATTATCTTAAAAAGGCCCACCAAATTAAAAAATTAATTGTCTGATTGTCCTCCAAGAATAAAGATAGTAAAGTTCAATCCCAAAGCAATTAAAGACAAAATTGATAACAAATATTATTCTTCCAAATTAAAGACAATTCAAAACAACCACTATACTGTGGTAACAACTGGCGTCATGATAAGTAAAAAGTCTAATAATTGTTGATAAAGTCTAATAACATTCAATGGCTCACCATAAGAACAAACAAATCGTGGATGTTTGTAAATATTACACATTCAAAATTTTATTTAAAAATAATGTGTGATTCAAATTCAATCTATGTATAAAGCTTTCATAATACATTATTTGAATCCTGGGTGCTGAAGTCTCCAATCCCAATAAATTAAAAGACTTCAACGAACAATCAAAAGATAAAATAAAAATTTTCCAACAAGCCACAATTAATCAAATTCATTTTATGTTTATATAATGTTCCATACATATGCAAATTGATAGTGTGTATATATATATATATGAAAAAATATACATAAAAACAGAGAAATTTCTGAGGTCTTTGCTTTGTCTAATCAAAGTGTAATTCATTCTGGATCAATCAAGACAAAGATTTTTCTTAATTACTTAATTGGAATTGTCATAAAAAAAACATTACGATTTATGAAAGCCTAGTAATAATCTCTATTACAGTGTTGTATTCTCTTGCAATTTCGGATGTGAATGAAACAAGAGTCTAACAAATAAAAGCATTCATAAAAATTTCGAAAAACTACACAAGACTACAATTCTATGTAGTTCCACGAGATACCAATTCTTTTCCTCAAACCAAAATACCATCATTTGGCTTCCTGTGAGCATATCCTCCATATTGACGATTCCAACGACGGAGGCAAGCAAGAGAAATACACGATCCAGCGAAGACAAGAACCGCCATCACAAGGAAAAACTTCTGCTCCATCACCTCTTTCACCCAAGAAAGCCTGCCCAACTCTGTATTTGAATCCTTTCCAGTACTGCTCTCAATTTCATTTTTTGTGACCCTACCATCGTACCATGGATATAGTAGGGTCTGAAACGCAGGATCAAAGAAGTCCTCCACCCCATGAACAATCACATGCCCATTGTTGTAGATATCCCAATCTGTAACCTTGACTCCATTAATGGAAGCGTGATCGCTATGATGGGGTGTTGTAGTAACCACAAGTGGGTGATGGGGAAGGAGAGTATCGACCATGGATTCGTATGGAAGAGAAGACTGAAGAGCCTCCCTATCAAGCCTTAGCGGTGCAATGTGGTACTGCAGGAGGGTAAATGGTGGCTGAGGGTGCTTGGAAGACAAGAAAGCCTTATCAAGTGGGCAGAATATGGTGATTGTGGTATTGTGGGTTACTTCGGAAGGTATCAATGTAGGGAGGATTTGTTCGAGAATTAAGGACATGGCTATGTAACCCTTGTTGGATAAGACACTTGAGATCATCCCAACATTCAACCCGTGATCATGGTGGTTAGTTTCTTGAGCAGCTGTTGAAATAGTGGGTCGTGGAAGGATTGAAAGAAAAACAAGAAGAAGAAAGGCAAGCGAAAGCTTGGATGCCATGAGGAAAAACAGTAGATTGATAAGGAGAAGTTGAAGAAGAATAGGGAGAAGTGTAAAAGATCTGAGAGCAATGTATGTATTGTAGAATGTAGTATTTGTATAGATTGAGATCCCCAACTAGGACTTATATATATAACTACATTGAAACCTTGTCCAGATAGGATTAAAAGACCTAGTAGATCAGGGTTTCCAAAAACAATCACACGTTTAGGAAAAGACCTAGTAGACCAGATCCTAATAGATTAAAAAAAAAAAAAAAACTTTAATTACAAATTTTAAATGGAAATGTTTTTATTAATGTGAACTTGCTATCTTTGTGTCTCATTAAAACACTGTGTTTGTTTCTTGATTTTTAAAAGAGTCTTAATTTGTTAGCTTAATTTTTAGGTTAGTTTGCACTACAACAATCCATTTTAAATCCAATTCATCATTAATATGGAACTTTCTAAAATTTGAGTCCATAAACGAGTTCAACTGCTTTGCCAAACCCAATGCAACACCTCCCAAACAAACAGATCATTTTTTTTTAATGAAATTCACCAAATTTTTAAAAAAAAAAAAAAAAAAAAAAAACAGAATTCACCGAACAGCCAAACCTTTAAAAAATATTAAAACAAATTTCATCCGAAAAAAAAAAATTAAACAGAATCAGACAACAAAAATAAGAAGCAAGCAATTTCAAACTATTTTAAGCAATCTCAAAAAAATTTATAGTGAAATTTCAAACAATCTCAAAGGAAATTTGAACAATAAATATCTGGATTTCAAGATGGTTGATGGATTTTCCCAATATGAAGTTGCGGCTTAGTCTTCTTCATTTCCATCTTCTTCAGAAAGCAGAATTCAATGAGTTTCTTCAAGGGTTTCAAGGGTTTCAATCTTCTTCAGATGATTTCAAGTGATAGAAGATAGAACATAAGATTTATAATTTGACATTTTACTACTGTAACATGCTAAAAAAATTATAACTTTGACATTATTAAAATGTTATAACTTTGACATTATTAAAATGACAATGACAATTAGAGATGCTTTTAAGAATCTGTGTGTATACTATGGGCGCGGTTTTGCTGCAGTCCTTTATAGTGCTGTTGCTTCCTGTCAGTGATGTGGTCCAATTGAAGAGTGACATGTGTTGTCTTTGCCAGTTAAATAACTAACGGAGAAGACTCACGTTATCTTGTTATTGTTATAGTTTTTTTTTTTTTTTCTGCTGTCCTTTTTTTTTTTCTTTTTCTCCTCTCTTTCTGCCTCTCTCCATTATTTTGTTCTTCCTTGGATCTATCTCTCTTTTTACACGTGGTAATTCAAATGAAAACCTACAACAATCTTCCATTCAATCGATGGTAAAACGAATCACAAATTGCAAAATCTGATCAAAAAAAATGAAATTTTAAATACACATAAAATTAAAACCAAAAAAAATAAAAATAAATTGACAAGAATGATGTAGAAATACCACTATTGTAAATAAATTCAATTTTAATCATGTTTTGTTTCATTTTCAATCGTGTTTTGTTTTGAAATGAAAAGTCCACAATGAACTACATATATATGAATTTTTTGTTTATATAATATTAATTAAAGAAAAATCAAATATAGAAACTGCCCCAATCAATTCCATTTTGTTATAAATCCCGAATTCCACAACTGCAATCCAACCATTTGGCGTTGATGTTGTAGAAACCACCACATAGGCACAGACCCACTTATCATTTTCAATTTCTTGCAGTCCCCTTTCTTGAATATGTAAGTGTGGTTATGGCACCAGAAATTTTTCTTAGTTTCCAATGAGATTTGAGAAGCTAATTTTACACAGTTCCACCATGAGATGGTGGAATTAAAACAACTGGAGAGGTGTAATGGAGATGATGGTGAGCATCCATGGTGGAGGTTTTGGTGAGTTGATGGTGGGTGTTAATGTGATAGGAGTTGGTGGTAATTATGGATGAAATGGGGTTTGGGGGGACTGATTTTTTGGGTGAGAAAGAATGAAATGGTGATTATCCTATTTTGTGCTACCAACAACGCTTTCTTCTCTCTCAAGTACTCACAACCTCCATTCACTCTCCTTCAATATCACATCATTCCCATGAAGCTCGATAGGGAGGCTCTTGAATCATCTCTTCCATTCGAATCCAAGCTCAATACCTCCTCACAGGCCATCCACTGGTTGTCACAACAATACCCAAAAGCCAATCCGCTTCCATTAATGAAGTCAAGATCAGAGATTGGGAGATTTTCAACGATGGGCATGTCATTGTTCGTGGCATCAAAGACTTCTTTGATCCAGCCTTGCAGATTCCACTAAATAGTTTTGTAATATAGTCGATCTTATGTATAATTTTATCAATTTTAATTTTGAAAAAACTCTTATTTATAAAAAAAATTACTAAACAGATCATCATTGCTCAAGATGAAATTTATAGGTAAATTTTCCAAAATAATAATAATAATAATAACAATAGTGATGATTATCTAAAAAAGGCCCAGCAAATTAAAAAATTAATTGTCTGATAATCCTCCAAGAATAAAGATAGTAAAGTTCAAAAATTGATAACAAAAATATTATTCTTCCAAATTAAACACAACTCAAAACAACCACTATACTGAGGTAACAACTAGCATCATGATAAGTAACAAACATCATAAAAAGTCTAATAACATTCAATGGCTCACCACAAGAACAAACACATCGTGGATGATTGCAAATATTACACATTCAAAATTTTATTTAAAAATAACATGTGATTCAAATTCAATCTATATATAAAACTTTTATACTACATTGTTTGAATCTTGGGTGCTGAAGTTTTCAGTCTCAATAAATTAAAAGACTTCAACGAATAGTCAAAAGATAAAATAAAAAAATTCCCAACAAACCATAATCAATCAAATTCATTTTGTATTTGTATAATGTTCCATACATATGCAAATCGATAGTGTGTATATATATATATGAAAAGTATGTAGAAAAGAAGAGAAATTTCTGGGGTGTTTGCTTTGTCTAATCAAAGTGTAATTCATTCTGGATCAATCAAGACAAAGATTTTTCTTAATTACTGAATTGGAATTGTCATGAAAAAAAAACATTATGATTTGTGAAAGCCTAGCAATAATATCTATTACAGTGTTGTATTTTCTTGCAATTTTGGATCTGAATGAAACAAGAGTCTAACACAAGACTACAATTCTATGAAGTTCCAAGATATACCAATTCTTTTCCTCAAACCAAAATACCATCATCTGGCTTCCTATGAGCATATCCACCATGTTGACGATTCCAACGACGGAGGCAAGCAAGAGAAATACACGATCCAGCGAAGACAAGAACCCCCATCACGAGGAAAAACTTCTGCTCCATCATCATCTCTTTCACCCAAGAAAGCCTACCCAACTCTGTATTTGAATCCTTTCCAGTTCTGCTCTCAATTTCATTTTTTGTGACCCTACCGTCGTACCATGGATAAAGTAGGGTCTGAAACGCAGGATCAAAGAAGTCCTCCACCCCATGAACAATCACATGCCCATTGTTGTAGACATCCCAGTCTGTAACCTTGACTCCATTAATGGAAGCGCGATCGCTATGATGGGGTGTTGTAGTAACCACAAGTGGGTGATGGGGAAGGAGAGTATCGACCTTGGATTCATATGGAAGAGACGACTGAAGCCTCCCTATCAAGCCTTAGTTGTAGGAACCCACATTTTGTGTTCTCATCATGTTCATGAGCATCTGTGTGATTATGACTTGTTAAGTTTGCATGTGTGTGTTGTGATTTGTTTCGCTTGAGTTAATGTGATCCATGCCTTGTTTTGAAGCCTTGTGATTTGTCTAAGTGTAGTATGCTTGTCTTGTTCCTTCCTTGATGTGAAACTTAGGTCACGCCTTGCCTGAGTTATACTAGCCGATGTTATTCCGAGCCGAGGTCATCCTTAGTCTAGTAGTAGTATCTTGGAACCCCTTGTTGACCTCCGTCCTTGCCTTGACCACATTAGCCGAGATGTTACCCTGCACCCAAGTGATCTCGTCCTGGAGTGGTATGACCTAGGCCGAGGTGTGGCGCATCTAGGCCAAGATGTGGCACAACTTAGTCAAGTGTTGTCCTTCCTAGCCGAGGTCATTGTCACCTTAGTTGCCGAAGTCCTTTGTTAGCCGATGTCACCCCTTGCCGGAGTGTCATTCCATGTAGCTTGTTAGATACGCCTTGTTGTTAGCCGATGTCATAGCCTGTCAGA